CAGCCAGTGGCACGCTTTTCTTCACTGCATGGCTACTAAGCTGGGATCAAAGTGTAGTATCTGTTCTCTTAATCTCTCATAGTAATGTTAATATTAGCCGTTTCCTTATACGAAACAGTCGGCGTTCATTGACCGAGCAGCTAGTAACGCTGTCGGTTGAAATTTATCGAATCTTTTTCTTAAAAAAAACTATTTTTCGGGAAAATAGGCTTCTCAAGTCCAGTAGCTGTTATCGCTCTTTTCAGTATTGACGGGGGTTTCCTTTCTAACATTTTTTGTGACGGCTGAAATTTATAAATTCTTTTTCTTAAAAAGATATTTTTCAGGAAAATCGGTTTCTCAAGTCCAGTAGCTGTTATCGCTCTTTTCAGTATTGACGGGAGTTTCCTTTCTAACCTTTTATTTAAAGCAGTGTGGAAGATCTACATCTTGATTATTTCATTATTTTCGCTTTTCTTGATTAAGTCTTTATTTGATATCCATTTTGGCTGTTGCTACAGTTGAAAGTCCTCAAGTGATGTCGTTTTTGTTAATAGGCTTAGTTCTTTGTGATTCTGTAGAGTTAGTTCACAATGTTTTTTTGTTTTTTTTTCTTATTCGCTAACACTAAGTAACCTCCTTGCATCCTAGTGACATTATTGCCTTGTTTGTGGCGAAATGATAAGAAACAAATATTCACTAAGCAGAATTCCGATCTATGATGAAATCAACCCGGCATTTTCGACGGACAATACGCTAAGAAAAACATGGGTGCCATCATAAAGCAACGCTGCCATTGAACAGTAAATTGCTCGCGTTCTTCTGGACTAATCACTACAAGATTGTAGATGACCCCCGAACCAATTTCTTAAGCGCTGTCCCGTGATATTATTGCTCATCTTAACTAGAGGTGGCAAATGTTAACTATCTGCACCTTTTGCAATTGCCGGCCTTGTCAGTTTTCTTAGCTGAATAAAATCTTTAATTATGAGAAAGTCGATAAACTTCTTGTGCCTATTCAGTTTATCTATTCTCAACGGATAGAATCTGCCTGCTAGCGTCTTTGGCTCGGTCGTCCACGAAAGACAATCGGCCCGTTTCCAAGCTGGTCTTTATCATTATAAATGGACCATCCGCTTCGGCCAGCCCCATTGTTAACAGGCCTGCCATTGCAACGTTAGGGTTGATCTAATTGGAGCTAATATCGCATGCATTCAGCTCGGGGGTCCAATGAGGCAAAAATAAGAATGAGATTGGTGAGGATGCCGCTTGTTCGCCGCATTCTTCATTCCCACACTTTGTGAGTATTTCGGACTTTTCATGCGTGACTCTACGAATAGAACCATTCCGAAACTACTTTTTCTTTCGTCCATTTTGCACACGATCGCTTGTTTAATATCAAGGCAACAATGTCCATTAGTCGTTCAGCTGGATTTGTTAATTTTATTCACTCTTATTGTCTTTTAGTAATTTTCTTTTTTTAGTTCTTTTCAGCCTTATTTTTTTGTATTTTTCAGCCTTATTTTTTGTTTTGTTTTTTTTTTCAGTTTTATTTTTATCTTCTTTTCAGCCTTTATTTTTGTTCTTTTCATTTTCTTCTTTCTTTTTGGTCGTCTGCAGCGCGTAATCAGCGAAGAGACACTTTTACTCAAAATCAGAAAGAGCTGAAATTTCTTGGAGACATAATGGGGAAAGAAGGCTTGTAAAATATAACACTCACAGGACATATCGAAGAGAAGGGGGACAAAAACAGCGGATTGTCTAGCTGACGAGCTTTTACAAATGGGTGTCAAAAGATATGCATTACAAAAACAGAGATAGGATAAGAAGCTGTGGTGAGCAATGATCGCCACGTCCATAAGGGACATAGAAGATTCATTTTTCGTTCTTTATCCGTTTCTTCATTTTGTTTCTTTTCATTTTTTTTCTTTCGTTTTCTTAATTCTTTTTTCTTTTCTTTCATTCCATCATTTTTTTTTCATTTTCTTATCTATGTTTCCCTTTATTTCCTTCATTTTTTTCTTTTTCTTTCCGTTCTTCATTTTTTCTTTTGTTTCTTTCTTACCTTTTCTCTTTCGTTTCTTTCCTCCATTTTTCTTTTGTTTTTTTCTTTTATGTTTTCTTTCGTTTCCTGCATTTATTTTTTCTTTTCTTCCGTCGCAATATTTTTTTTCATTTTCTTACCTATATTTTCTTTCGTTTTCTTCTTTCTTTCATTTTTCTTTCGTTTCTTTCTTTCCTTTTCTCTTTCGTTTCCTTCGCTCATTTTTTCTTTCGTTTCTTTCCTTTTTTTTTCATTACTTTCCGTGCTTCATTTTTTTCCTTTCATTCCCTCATATTTTTCTTTCGTTTCCTTCCTTTATGTTTTCATTACTATCATTACTTCATTTTTCTAACCTTCCTTCATTTTTTCTTTCATTCCTTTATTTTATTTCCTCATCTTTACTGTCATTTTTCATTTTTTTCTTTCGCTTCCTTCATTTTTTTTCGTTTCTTTGATTCATTTTTGTTTCTTTTTAATTTATTATTTCTTTCATTCCATCATTTTCTTCGTTTTATTCCCTTATTTTACCTTGCTTTTCTTTTCTTCATTTTTTGTTTTCTTTCATTTTTCGTTTTCCTTCATTTTTTCTTTTTTTTCCTTCTTTTATTTTATCATTTGTTTCTTTCTTTTATTTTTTCTTTCCTTTTTTTTCTTTCTTTTCTCATTCGTTTCCTTTCCACAGTTTTCCTTTCGTTTCTTTCCTTCATTTTTCATTACTTTCCTTGCTTTGGTTTTTTTCTTTCATTCGTTTTTCTTTTCTTTCATTCCTTCATTTTTTTCCTTTCATTCCCTCATATTTTTCTTTCGTTTCCTTCCTTCATATTTTCATGAAATTGCTTTCATTGCTTCATTTTTCTAACCTTCCTTCATTTTTCTTTTCTTTCCTTCCTTCATTTTTATTCGTTTTATTATTTCTTTTCTTTTTTTCGTTTTTTCGTTTCCTTCCTTCATCATTCTTTCTTTTTCCTTCCTTCATTTTTGTTTTTTTTCATTCATTTTTTTATTTCATTCCGCCATTTTCTTCGTTTTATTCTTTCATTTTGTCTTACTTTTCTTTTCTTCATTTTTCTTTTTATTCATTTTTTCTTTTGTTTCTGTCCTTCGTTTTTTCATTCGTTTCCTTGCTTCGTTTGTTTTCGTTTCTTTCCATATTTCTTTCGTTTATTTCCTGTATTTTGTATTTCTTTTCTTCTCTACTTTCAATCTATATAACCGACATTTACAATTAGGTCCCTAATAGACGGCATTTATTTATATATTCCTTTTTCGAATCCACTGAGATTATTAACACCTTCCTATTCGCAGTCTTTGCCCCTCTAAATGATTTTCCGATCCTTACTTTTATTAAATCCATCCCTGTCTATTGCTGATTGAGAAAAATTAATAATCGACCCCCGATTATTAACGCCCCTCTGGTATTAGGCAACAAAAGTAATTTTCTTTTTTTCTTATGGCCTCTTTCTTATTCCCTTTCTTCATTTTTTTAATCATTTCACCCCAAGCAAGGCGGGAATGCTACTAATACGCAGGCGGTCAGATGGAGTGAAAGTGAGACTGAGTATAGGGAGGATTGAGGAAAAGACAAAAGATGAACGAAATGCAAGAAGATAGAAGATGGTGATTGAAGTTACAATTCAATTTTTGAAGATTGTAGTTCCCAGGGAAGCAAATAAACAGAAAGGAGTTCCACATAGGAACAGTCTGGCAAGAAAGACAGAGTCGAAATAATATGGATGAAAACTAGTTTAAAAGAAATTAATAAATCCGTTTTATTTTAATCAAATGAAATTCTCTTCAATAATGCCAGAACATTTGAGGTGAATTGTTGATATTTTTTCTACATGTTTGCTTCTTTAACCAAAAGTAATTCATTAAGACAAAAAATTCCTTAATTAATGGAAAATTTTAAAACTAAGACACAAATAAGTTTCATTACTGATATCACCTATATACTGATTGTTTAAACAGTTTAACTAATGTTAAACTCCAGTATTCTAACCTACTTGATTAAAAAAAAAACAAAAAACGATTCGTTAGACTAAATGCAAAATATAGCTATTCTTCATACAATTTAACTCTGGGTGTCTGAGATAGATTTCATTTTCGAATCGAAAACATGTAATCAGCTTGTTCATTTTATTTGTAATAAAATATCGCCATTTTTTTTCAATTCAAAGTGAAGTGATTTGACATTAAATTGATTGAAGCAGGGGTATATTCCAGTTTACGATCGAGGTGGAGTCTTTGTCAATCGACTTCTTTTATTTTTTACAGCAATGACGGGGACAAGCGGCGAGTGATTGGTAAATGCCTGCGATTACCAATTGAGAAGAGGCCAAATGGGTAGTCGGAAAGAATTGGGAGAGGTGGGGCTGTTGTTTACATTGGCAGACGCTGTTCGATCGAAGACGAAACCGAATATCGACGCTCAGGTCTCATGATGGAGGCAAGTCATGCGTGGCTTTGGTTGAAAAACATTCGTGCAGCATTCAATCGAAATTTGAAAATTGTGTAAGAAAAGAATGGTTTATTGATTAAATGTTATTCACATATATCTATTTAGCTATCAATCTATTTATCGATCTAAGTCTGTTCATATTTGTACAGCTATTTACCTATTACACCGAGTTTGTTTATATCAGTCTATCCCAGTCTGTTCAAATCTATCTATCTATCTATCTATCTATCTATCTATCTATCTATCTATCTATCTATCTATAAGCCTGTTTTTACCCATCTGTTTATCTTTCTGCCAGCCTGTCTATTTCTCTGTTTAGATAGATAGATAGATAGATAGATATCAATCTAAGTCTGATCTTTATCTATCTATCTATCTATCTATCTATCTATCTATCTCTCTCTCTCTCTCTCTCTCTCTCTCTCTCTCTCTATCTATCTATATATATATATATATATAAATATATAAGCCAGTTTTTATCTATCTGCTTGTCTTTCTGTCAGTCTATCTATCTATCTATCATAGTGAGATATAATGTGCTGTGATAGATAGATAGATAGATAGATAGATAGATAGATAGATAGATAGATAGGTAGGTAGGGTACTTCAAAATGTTGTAATGGTTAGCAAGCATGTATCAGTTGAGGCTTACGTCATATTACTATCTATCTATTTCATATCTATCGATCATTGTCTGTCTATCTATCTATCATATCAACACTCCTCCTTGAACGATCACAGAAGTTAAGCAACGTCGAGTTTGGTCAGTACCAAGATGGGTGGCCGTTTGTGAACTTGGATGTACGGCTGGTGTAATAGATAATGGCACAGAATTGAATTGTATTCACTTACTCGCAAATATCCTTGGAAACTGTATGAATCCATATCTCTCCCCCACCCCTGATAGGTGCTAATTAGTATGACTTGGATCAGTAAATTATTATTATCTCCAAAATAACAGTATAAAGATATTTTCTGGATTTAAATAACCTGCAAAAGGTTGATATGCTGTAAAAAAACAAATCCATCAATGTCTCATTAGATCAATCCAGACAGTTGAGTGATTTGATTTTCATTGGTCTCTTCACGCTTTCGGTCTTGTACTGCGTATAACACAGACTTCAATAGATAGATAGATAGATAGATAGATAGATAGATAGATAGATAGATAGATAGATAGATAGACTTTGATCGATAGATATGAACAGAATGAGATAGATAGTGTTATGGTCTGGTTCCTTGTACTACTTGATAGTCTAAGGTAGAACCAATAAAGAACTCGAACACGGATATGGAATAAGACAGATATATCACAAACAGGAATATATACAGAGAAGTAGAAAGTGTTAATACGAACAATCAGCTTTAGTAGTAATTGTCTGAACGCGACTCTGTTTCGGACTGCCTCTGACTCGACTGACTGATTCGCTCGCTGACTGACTGACAGACTCGTGACGGACTTCACTCCAGACTTCAGACTGAACTCCCTGCTTCCTCTTGAGGTGCAGTATTACGTATGGAATAGTCCATTATGTTATTATGGGTAAGGTCCCATAACAGATAGATAGATAGATAGATAGATAGATAGATAGATAGATAGATAGATAGATAGATAGACTTTGACTGAAAGATATGAACAGAATAAGATAGATAGATAGATAGATAGATAGATAGATAGAAAATGAACAGTATAAGACAGTTTAGTGGGAAGAGACAATTACTCTCCTTACTATCATCAATGGACTGTTCCATTCATGATAAGTAGTCCTGGGTAATTATCTAGGAGGAGGAGATAATACTTATTATTAGAGTCTAGATGAGCATTGAATGTACTATCACGACTGACTCTGTCGAGTTAAGTTTTGTGTCCTGCCAAACCTCACATCACGATAGATAGATAGATAGATAGATAGATAGATAGATAAAGAAAAGAATGAGATAGATAGATAGATAGATAGATAGATAGATAGATAGATTTTTGATCATTATGCTAAGAGAATTTGATAGATTTGATATAGATATGAACTGCCTATCTAATTATCCCAATCTCATAGTTATCTAGTCAATTTTTTCTTCTTCAATAGAGTTCGATGCCCATATAACTTGTCTAAAACTCCTGTATCCACTATCTATCTAAATATGTATTCAGCCTGTTTATCTCTCACGACAGATAGATAGATAGATAAATAGATAGATAGATAGATAGATAGATAGAAACAGAACGAGATAGATACGAACAGAATGAGACAGACAGACAGATAGATAGATAGATAGATAGATAATGAAGAAACTGAGATAGATAGATAGATAGATAGATAGATAGATAGATAGATAGATGGAAACAGTGTAGACGAGAGACAGAGTAAAATTAATATGGATCAAAACTGATGTAAAATAAATTAATAAATCTTTTATTTTAATCAGACGAAATTCTCCTCAATAACGCCAGCAAATTTGAAGTGAATTAGTTAATATTTTTCTACATGTTTGCTTCTTGCATTATTTACATTATTCGGAATGTTATCCTCATCTTCATTACCATATTCACAACGTTTCGGCCATTGTACGCTCCGGCCTTCTTCAGGTGACTGGAATTTCGAACCGAAGAGGTCGGAGCGTACAGCGACCGAAACGTTGTGAATATGGCAATGAAGATGAGGATAACAGTCCGAATAATGTAAATAATGAAAGTAATCATAATACCTCATCTCAGATGTTTGCTTCTTTAACCAAAAGTAATTCATTAAGACAAAATGCTTCTACTTGGTTTTTCGTTGAATGTTAAAATTCGGAGTGTCGGCATTCAATACAATTGACAAAATATCGTTGTGGGGTCGCTCGTAATTTGACCGCCCAGAATAATCACGTGATTTTCATTGAAACAATAAAAGACAACGTAGTTTCAACAAATAAACATTAATTTAATATAACAACAAGAATACAAGCAGTTGGCGATGGATTGAAAAGTCATGTCTTTTTGTTTGCGTTGAGAAAATTCTGAAATAAAATATAAATTCTCTTTGTGTACGTATGTGAGAAACAATCAAATGTTGTTATATGTGTGTTTGTATGAAAAAAAGTCAACACGTGTGTGCGGGGTTCATTGTAAAGCGGATACAAGAGATAGTTAAAATTTGTTTCTTACTGTTGGCGTTGTTGCCGTAGTCTGAAGCGGTCTCTTTGCAGTTTGTCAACGTTGTCACTTTTAGCATAAGGTCGTGAAGATCATAAGCGAGAGTTGCGTGGAGTTTGGTGACAACTGTGCGTATCCTGTCTGGGGCCGGATATCATATGTTTTATACACTTTTTCGTAACAAAATAGGCTCCAGAATTAAATTATTTATTTATTCCTAATTGGCCCTAAAAAAAACCACGTGGTATGTCTTCTACTACGTCCGCACGATATTTGGGTGGTATCTACTTAAAAATCATGATGACTAATACAACAAACTTTCTAATTTGTATTCTATGATTTTATTGGTGCTTTTTAAGATGTAAGTATTTTCTTAAATGTGATTGGTTTATAAATATTGTATTTAAAAATTTAGTGAACACGACAGAAAGATTTTAAAACTAAGACACAAATACGTTTAATTACTGAAATCACTTGTATATTGACTGCTTAAACAGTGTGCGTAATCTCTTTTCACGGTCTACAAATATTTTCTAGCTTTAAATAACCTGAAAAGGTTGATAAGCTGTAAAAAGAAAAAAAATCCATCAATCACTCAAAGTAAGTCTCGTTAGAGCAATTATGACGGTTTGATTATTTCCATCTTCATTGGTTTCTTCACACTTTGGATCTTGTGATAGATAGATAGATAGATAGATAGATAGATAGATAGATAGATAGATAGATAAAAAAAATGAAGAAAGTTTGATAGACAGAGAAATAGATATAGGCAGGCAGATAGATAGGTAGATAAAAACAGACTGGGATAGATAGATAGATAGATAGATAGATAGATAGATAGATAGATAGATAGACTAATATTTATCTACAACCTCAAGTATGAACCCCCACCAATACTTATAGACTCAAGAATAAACCCGACCAATATTTATTCATAGATCCATGTATGAACCCAACCCATGACAAGTATAAACCCCATGCTTATACTTAACACTAGAAAGAGGCAGCTGAAGTTTCTGGGACACATAGTGAGGAAGAAAGGCCTGTAGAATCTGATACCCACGCGTTGAATAGAGGGAAAGATAGACGAGGGAAAACAACGTGTGACATAACTGACGAGCTTGAGCAAGTGGATGACAGAACGTGGTCTGGGGGGAGGAAGCAGAGGGAAGGAACTTTTGAGAGCTTCAAGGTATAGAGGGAAATGGAAAGCCATGATCGCCTACGTCCTGAAAGGACATGGTACGTAAAAAGAAAGAAAGAATGTTTATCCGTAGACACAAATATAATAAATGCAGACTTCCATGATAAATAACCCACTAATATTACATATGAAATTTCCCAGTAATCTGAAAAATTAAACATATTTTAAGCATTCTAATATTTTATTGAATTTTAGGTACCCTGGCTTATTTACGAAGGCGATTGTTGAGGAAATGTTAGAAAATTAACAATAAATTTTATATTTACTATAGTTATCACTTTTATTTTTTGATAATGTCATCTATGCACGTCCGTATTTACAAAAATCGGCACATTTATGCACACACACACAAATTCTTCTTAAAATACTGGGGTTCACTGAATTGTAGAAAGCTTTTCCATTTATGATTAGTAATAGTTTTTACTTAATGACAATATCACATGATCGCTACAAATTAATACAGAATTTTAAAAACTTTAAAAGTTTATAAATTATTCTAATGAAAATATTTAAAAAAATGAAACAATTCTTGTAAAAATTGGTTATTCATTGAAAAATGTTTTTTTTTTCTTATGACAATAGTGTCCAGTTGATTAGAAATGCTTTTAATTGCTTTTATGAATATTTTATTCATAAAAGCAACTAAAAGCATTTCTAATCAAATAATGTATTAGTTTTATTGCATTTTTTTACAATTCAAAATAGACTTTCTGTAAATGGAAGTCCTGTTAGACCAAAAAAATGATTTAAATTCTCCGAAGACTTGTCGTTATAATTTATACATTAAACACTACAAAAAATGAATTTCTCGAAATTTTATAAAATTAAATAAGTGTTGCTTAACAAATGTTAATTTTTTTACTAAAACTTTTAAAATGAATCATTTAAAAATATCATTCATTTGTGAATAAATCATTATAGTTTAATTTAACTCTCACAATAATCTGATTTTTGCAAGAATTTCCAAATCAATGTTTTTCACCGCAAAAAACACTCAAATTTCCCATACAAATTTATGGTCGCACGTTGACGCTAGAAAAAGAAGTTTTTATTAACCAAAATTTTGAAGGTTCTAAAATGGATTTTAAAAAAATTCTTTACGTAAAAATATCCCTTGGTCTTATCTGTTAATGATATCACAAATATTTTGATAAAACTTTGTTTTATTAAATTTTGGATATTTTTTTTTTATCATGTATGCTCCTTTTTATAGCGAATCTTTGGAGGTGCCTACTATAATGTTATAATCATTTGACATTATTCGAAATACATTGTAATTTAAATAGCTTCGAAAATAGGTATAGAATATATTCGAATTTTATTATTACGATTTGTCTACAAAAACACACTCTTTACCCTGGGAGAGTAAACCAGACAGACAAAAAAGATCAACTACGAAAAGAAATTAATTCAACTGCGTCTTTTTATAAAGCCTATATCTGGATCGGTTGCGCAGCAGCAGTGAAGATTAGACTCGATTTGTTCAGGCAAAACCTAGTTACGTCTTCATTGCCCCCAGTAATTTCGATTTTATCCCATCTATACATACAAATATATAGCAGGTGCATCTAGTCCGGTGATCCTGCTATATATTTAAAAATTCCAAAGAAAAATCTGCAATGTTATTGGGCCTGACCTGGCATCTTGGGTTCAGTCACTTTCTCGTTGCCGTAATGTAGTCTTTTTTGCTATAAATTCTTTCATATCTGTCTATATTTCTAAGATGAGGTATTGTAATTATTTACATTATGTACATTGTTCGGACTGTTGTCCTCATCTTTATAGTCATGTTCACGACGTTTCGGCCATTGTACGCACAGACCTTCTTCAGGTGATTGGAATTTCGAACTGAAACCTTCGTTTCGTCCACCGGGGTATATTGTTCTAGATCCACGTGCCATGCCTCTTCCGGATGTCTTACTTATCTCTCTTTAACTCAACTCTCCAAGTTTTTTTGATTTTTGGGTTTTTTTTTCCACCACTACCGTAGCCATGTATTGAACTCACAACTCTTGGGTCAAGTCACTGGATCCAACCAACATTTTTATCTACTGGGCCATGTGTACTTAAAGGGAAATAACTGTGACATCCGGAAGAGGCATAGCACGTGGAACTAGAACAATCTACCCGGTGGACGAAGTAAAAGGTTCGTTTCGAAATTCCAATCCCCTGAAGAAGGCTAGAGCAAACAACGGGTGAAAAGTCGTGAACATGACAGTAACAGTAAAGTTGAGGACAACAGTCCGAACATGGTTCTGTTGATAACATTTCTTTCTCTCACGTGGTCATGTATGATGTCACAGACCCGCATTACGAATTTACGACCCGCGTCTGCTATTCCGCGACGGTCATCGTCGTATGGCAAACGTCTATGTAAACATAACGGGATGTCATCTTTGATGGTGAATATCTCTGTTGCAATGTCCATATAACCATTCGGATGATGGCTCATGTGAGCTGAAAGTTTAGATTGAGGAACAGCATAAGAAAAAATATCAAAATGTTGAATAGTTTTTGTCTTTATTTTCTCCCGAAATTAAAGCCACTATGCGAAGTTTAGAACGGCTCATGATCAAACATAATAGACATTCGTTGTTTATTATACTTAATATGTATATGTTTGAATAATGATCTGCTGCCCCAATACACTAAATATGGTGGATTCTCCCGTCGTATTCGACGTATGAGGGTCAAGCAGCTCAGTTCCGAGGAACCAACAGCCTAGACACTAGCACATATGATTTGATTATAGCGGTGAAGGCTTTCTGCAGAACCAACCACACTTTATGAAGGTCCGAATACAGAGACCTGGTGCACTACGAGCCACAAGGTCCCCCAAAAGACCTCCGGAGTATTTGAATTCAGAGTTGCCTTTCTCATATATATATATATATATATATATATATATATATATATATATATATATATATATATACACACACACAGATTGAGTCAAATTTTATAAATGTGTAGTACTCATTAAAATAATTATTATTATCATCATCATTTGAGTATGTTTCCGGCTTTGTCTCCTGTAAAACCGGGTCCAAACTATGATACTTGGGCTCTATAGAAAAAATTGCCATTTAATTGTTATAAATTACCTTAGTATATGTTATGATCCTAGTCGGGCGATCTTTTGGACAACTTGTATGTTGATGTTACCTGGGACACTGTAAGTAAAATTATTCATTCCTTTTCTCAAGAGGCCCAAAGCTCCGATTCTAATTGGTACAGTCTCAGTCTTCCTTCCCCACATCCTGTTAATCTCGATCTCCAGGTCATTGCATTTAGACAATTTCTCGATAATTTTCAAGGAAATGTTTCTCTCAGATGGTACTACTATGTCAATAAGGATACACTTCCTGAATTTCTTGTTTTTTTATGATAATATACGGTCTGTTGGCTTTTATTTCCTTATCAGTTTGAATTGGCATGTCCCAGAGGATAGTTAAATCGTCATTTTGGCTAACTGTGTCCAGTGCTCACTCATATCATCTCTCAGTGGTTTCGATTTTGTGCTTCTTGCATATTTTCCAGTGTATATATGTCGCTACCTTTTATGTCTCTGGGTATATTCATTTTTGCTAGTTTTGGGCATTCTGAGATAATATGGTCGACATTTTCATCATATTTTCCGTAGATCCTGGATTTAGAGTTAGTTCTATCCTTGATTATGTGATAGTGATAAGATCTGGTTGCGATGTTTTGGTCCTGAGCTCCAAAAATTAGTCCTTTCATCTCAGCTTTCAACCCGATGCTTCTCAGCCACTGATGTGTTTTCTGTTGGTCCACATCTGCTTCTTTCGTTCGTTTTAGGTATTTATTATTATTATTATTATTATTGTCAGAGAGTAATTTTTAGTGACTAATTACCAAGTCCCCTCCGGTGTCTGTGAGTAATAAAAAGGATACTGTAGGAGAGTTACCAATGCATATTTGGGACGCTTTCTTTAGATGGAAAAGGTTTTGCGGATAAAACGTGCAATTCCATACAAAGTAATCTTTTAAGATATTACGTCTTACAGCTACTAGTTTGTTGTTGTCCAGAAAGGGCCATTATTATTATTAGTAGTAGTAGTAATAGTAGTAATAGTAGTAGTAGTAGTAGTAGTAGTACTAGTAGTAGTAGTAGTACATGTAGTAGTATATGTTGCATTCTACTGAGGGCGTTCCTTTGAAATTATTTTCTTTTCATTTTAGTGTTTTGTTTATTTAATTTTTATTTATTAAATATTTCTGTCTTTATTATTTTATTTATTTTACTTTAATTTATATAATTTATTTATTTATTATTCATTCATTTTCATTTATTTATTCATCTCTTTATTTGTTTTATTTTTTTAAACACTTATTTATTTATTATGATTGCTTTCTTTATTATTTTTACTTATTTTATTTTTTATTTATATACATATTTATTTCTTGTTTATCATTACTTTTATTTTTATTTATTTATTTACTTACTTACAGACAGTTGTGGATACAAAAAAGAACGCTATACCTCGAATTGGGGTCAGGAAGTGCAGAAGTGTAAACGGTTCAGCAGTGAGTAATTTCCCGCCAAATTAAACACGCCATGTTTTCACGTAAAACAAATTTCTCCAGTCGATATTGACGCAAAGAAGCATGTTTTTCCATTTTCGAGGC